CCCGTATAAACTTCATAGATGCCGTACTGCAGTTATTAAATCTGGTAAAACGTAAAATGAATGCATCGACTTACAAGCAAAATGGAATTAGGAAATCGAACCCGAAGATTAATCAGTCGCTATTTAACAGGGTTTAGCAACATGATTAAAATGATTGATGGAGCTGGGCTGTAAGAGGCATCAAATTTTATACCTTGTTAAAAAATTAATGATGCCTATTACAAGACGCAGTGTTATACTTAGACACAAGTTTGTCTTGAATTGTGAGGGCTGGTGTATTAGATTCCCATACGAGGCAGTTAAATTTGCGATCTGACTATACATGCAAAAGGCTTCTGCTCTAAACAACGCACACCTTGATATCGGTGTCAAATTTACTGCAACGAGGCAATAGATCGAAAGGTAACGTGTTTGCAGTGCAGCAATTTATGAAATAAACCCCAATTTAGCCTTTTCAACCGAACTTTTAATAAATTACATTGAGACGGAGATAGAATGCATTAATCAAATTTAGCAATCACATCGTTCATGATAAAATCCAAAACTAAACGCGTATTTCTATATTTCCACCCATATCTCAATCAGTAGTTGTGTAGCCTGTAGCTAGGCGCAACTTGAACAGTCGTCACTATAAAATTACGGAACGATAGCAATAAGTTAAGCGAATAATTGAAACATATCGTAGTAAGAGGTCAAATGCCGCTCGACCATTAGGATGTAAACTAAAAACTCGAGTTTTTCCTTACAAAACTCCATCGATATTGCTTGCAGGAGCCGTAAATGAAATAGCACGACTAACATGAAATACTTGAACTTATTTACAAAGCTTAGATAGACTCCTAATTTCTTTCAATTATATAAGTAATTAAGCCAGAATCATTTTTAGATCCTCAAACTTTTAAGTGAATCCAGCTTGTTTCTTAACTCGCTCGTGTCGATAATTTTCATACGTCAATATACCTTATTTGCACATTCGATCCAACTCCACCTAGAGATTTGCCCTAAATTTTTTAAGGAAAAGTTTAAATCGCCCAGTTTCATCATACAAATAAACAAGCAATGCCCCATATGATTGGAAAAAATGTTCTACACATCAGTAAAGGGAGCTTACATAGAACACATTTACTGACTTTGTATTTAGATGGAGCACTTACACTTTTCTAATCTTCATTCACAGGTGATGCGCTAATACCTCCAACTTAATAGAACAGACGAGTATAATGTTTACGGACTCAGCGACTGTAAATAAACGGGAACACACGACTTTTAAAGCCCAAAAGAGATAAACCTTGTACATGTGATATACAGTCTCAAGTTTCTATGTGGTAGTTGATGTGGTTGAAATCTCAGTCGTCTGTTATTTACAGATTGATGTACCTTCCAGCAACCCTTATATACTAAAGATTACGATGCGAGCTAGTTTTGAATTATTATTAGGTAGTTGAATGAGGTATGTAAATTTATCGAAGATAAAACTAAGAACTAAAGTTTGGATCACTTTTTGATCTGAGAGTAAAACGTGTCTTATAAAGAGTTGAGTGTATCGTTAAGAGTAATAGTCAACTTGTGGCGTATGCACTAGAAGATCTTGTTCGTACGATTTTTAAGGTCGGTGTTAGTCCCTTAAACCCGGACTAGAAACTCTACGAGCTCGAAGAATATCAGAGTGTTAGTTGATCAGTTCTAGAGACTAGGGACACTTTAAACTAATAGCAACCTAGTTTCGCAGAACTAAGTGACTGATAAAGTCGTAAATCTTCCTCTGATTTGAAGATGCGTAGATCCGTTATGCCTGGTAGAACTTGTAGCCAATCTTCCACCATAGTTGCAAATCGGATAAACATCTGTTAAAATTGTAAAATCAAGCTCATCATTTTGCGGCTCAACGCCTCGCGCGTGACAAGCTTAGAGCGTTAATTGATGTCCAAAAATTGATCATATGGTGGCTAAAGGCCCGGAAGTGCATAATGCGTAGCTGGATGCTTAAACACACTTTAAGGCCACTCTGATACGGCAAATTTATGGTCTTTACACGCTACGCCCTTTATAAATAAACTAAGGATGACCAGTTCGTTCTGAGCGTGAAGAAGAATCAAGGGAATGAGAAAGCATAATTACCTTCTCTCTATTCGAGAGGTAGACATGGAAATGAGTGCTGCTACGCTGCAAACCTAGCAGCGGAAGGCTGGCCAGGTTAAATTAAAACTCGGTGGCAGAACCAGAAAATTACTTCTGACATGTGATGTGTCTGTAGACGCCGCGATATCCATGTAGTGTTCAATCAAGGTACACATGTCTCGTGTGTTCGCACCGCCTAGTCAGAATTTTGAGTGCGTTCACGCTTCTTATCCTCTCGACAAGAAAGATAATATTTTTCGGACTATGTTCATGTGTTAAGAGTCCATTTTGCTTTTATGCAGCTGGATCCTCTCCCTGATGAAGTTTTATGCACCATTTAGATGGAGGGTCTCCGTACTGGGATCTCTCAAAACGAATTTGTTCTTATAAAACCTCAAACTTGACAAGGCTGTGGACATAGCATTTAAGGACGAGTTAAATTTTTAGAGCGGCTCGCTGAGATTCAAATAAGCACGAATAAAATTCTTTTAACAGGTATGATCATTTGGAACTCAGTTATGCGGAAGATGAAGAAGCCGAACGTCAGGCTGCGAAACAACAACGTAATATTCTTAGATGTCACATGTGTGGATAAACCAAGGCGTCGTCGCCATTTCTGTCTATTGCGAAACTTTCGACATAATCTGTAAGTCTTACTACCGCCCCAAACGAGAAAACTGTACGGCTCGGGAAAATGTCGACCCTCGTAGGCGTGGAGGAGCTACTCTTTATAGAGGCTCTAGCAGGTAGAGCTGAATAGATCTTACAATCTCGTAAATGTTACTAATAAGCGTATGTACAAGTAAGGCTTGTCGTTTGCCTTAGCAACGGTTAAGGGCTTTATAGAGCCATGGTCAATTTTAATTCAATCTGGGGCATAGGGTAAATACGTCCGACGCCAATTTCTTGAAGTTATATAGCAGTATGCTGAAGTGCTGAAAGCGTAAGAAGGCGATGTATTCACGGTGTGTTTAGCAACCGGTGCCCGTGTCACCGTACCTAAAGCCTGTTGATCTCAGGTGTAAAGTTTTAATACTTGACAGCATTGATCGCGGTATTGTTTTGATCTTGGACTTCGAAATATGGTCGCATTCTCGGTGTGTTCTGGCTGTAACGCTAGGAGCCATGGTTTTATTGGAGGTTCAATGCCTTACGTGCAACGATCAATGTATCCAGTGAAGCATATAAAATTTATGAACACATCTTTGCTAGACAACAAAAGAGCTATTGGCGCGAGCCACTTATTAATTTAGTTAGTGTGCTGGTCATCGGAATGTCTGAGCTAATTGATTTGAATGTCAATAACAATGGTTAAACGGCGCATACACCGTTGAGTATTTCACTTTTTACAAAACCACTGGATACTAATAGCTTTATGACCTCATATCTATTATTTAGGGTGGAATCCCTTAGATATACGTGGAGTGGAACGTAAACACATAAAGAATGAGAGCGGCTGCAATAGCACCTCACTGAACTTCGGAAATGACATTGTCGGCAAAACAACTCGGCATTAAGACCGAGTATCCCCTGATGCATGTGCAGTGGAATTTGAACAACCACATGTAAGAGAGGCTTATAAAGCACGTAATGTTGAAAATGTAGTTTTCGAAGCGGACACTCCTTACCCTATCAACGCCCAAGCTGCCAGTTGCTAAAAACATTGCGCGGTAGATGTGTGATTACACTAGCATCTGAAGGGTTCTTTGTTTGATTTACGCAGGATAGGGCAGAACTCGATTATCGATTTTTAAACCCACTGAAGAGGCCCTCAGGAGGGAAGGAACGCCCCTGGCCCGCTTTTCAGTCCAGAATCCATTTTTACAATACTTTAATTTTGAATGTTTATGAACCCATTTGATAGCTGCAGAAAACCCTACAAGACTGACTATTAGGTAATACAAGCGGTTATCGGTGTACACCGGACGATAGCGTGACAGATCACGTGGGTAATGAAGTCGGAATTACAAGCCTCATATCATTAATGTTATTTTTAAGATAGACAAAATGTCTGTAGATTTTATACGTAGGGCCTTGAAGTAAGACGAATTATCCGATATCGTGATCATTAGACCCGATATTTTGTTAAACTTCTCGTCTCTATCGGATGAGACGTTCCTTAAAATTACAAGGCGGAACTAAGTGCACGAAATAGAATTATCTATGTTAAAAAGCCCTTCATACCTCTTACTTATCTTTGGTCAAATGAATTTAATACGTGGTAAGTCATAGTACACCGTCTGTATGACCTCACGATAGGGGGGTACGTCAAGAAATATATTGGATCCTGGGATCAAATACTGCGTTACAAAGCAGCAGTCTTTACCGAAGAACTTGTAACGGGGCACTCTTTGTCTGGGTCCCACGAAACTTCACGTACACTAGTACGTGCAGAGGAAGCTAAACTACTTGAACGAGTCGTTCAAGTAAAGGTAAAAAGAGAACTGTATCAAATACAGTTCAGCTATCAACATAACTTTAATCTTTATCTAACTATATTAAACTACGTCGTCGTATGTCGACAACCTGCTCACCACTCATTGCGCGCGTCAAGCAGCGATTGGTGGCAATCTATGGTTGATGTGTCTTATGTCAACCAATTTTGGAGCAGCGCATGAATATTATCTAGAGGGGATAATATTCCTTCAATATTATCCATCTCGGATAATGATGGTAGAATATTGTCATGCTCGACAAAATTACTATTGATACCGTTCGGTGTCAATTTCATGTAACGGGCTACCCCGCTACATCACCCCCCCTTAACTATCATTAAACCATCGATTGAATCAGAGTTGATTGAGACAGGGTGACCACCGTTGGACCCCTCTGGGAAAGGGAGCACTTGTTGGTCAGATCCCATTCATTTGCCAATCCAAAGCATGGTTTCGAAAACCACGCGAGCTTCTAATGCAGAAGCAAGAAAGGCGGCTGCACGCATGCGTGCAGCCGCGGAAAGTGCCTCTCACACCTTAGCAGCAAGTGATTCTTCGCCTGTTGTTGTGAATCGTCCACGTGGTAAGTCACCACGTGCGACAGGTACATTCGTTGCGCCTGCAGCGGGTACTGCGAGTCGTAATCAAGATGAGTCTGAGATAGAGCTCATCTATTCTGGCGAGTCGGATGATGTTTTCGACTCGAAGGCGACTCCTCACGTCTCTGGATCACCCGGAGCGGACACTGCAAGAGACAGGTTGACTGGATCTGGTCAACGCGGTGCTATCATGTCCGATATCTTCGGATCGAGTGATTATTTGGACGAATCTCCGCCTCACGCAAGTCCATTTAACGATAGGACGCGTGGGATGGTGGTGATGTATAGGTTCATCACAGCCATCCCCACGCGTCCTAACGAGCGAAGTAATTTTAGGGATCGGGGTAACACTGGTGCTAGTGCTCATGCTGGCATCAATCAAGAGGCCAGGGACCGAAATTTCCTGCGCCACGCTCCCCAAGTGGAGTCTTCGTGGATGCCGCCATCCAGAGAGTTGGACCGGTTGGCCGACACGACTACCGAACGGGATCGAATCCCGTTGTTCGATTGCAGGAAGATTTGCCCGCCTGATTCCAGCACAGAAACTATCCGTGCTGAGGAAGAGTTCTTCACCGATGCGTTCTTCAAACATCAATGGTACAATAGTAGCCGTGTACGAGACGGCGAAGCCTTGGTGAAAGGATGGTATGCCCTCATCCACAACATCGAGTGCATTGGCCGTGAGGTCTGGCTCGCCAAACTTGATGCTGCCCGCATCAGGTTTGAGAAACGTAACCCAGTCTGGGGGCGATACAAGTTGCACCGGCTTTCAAGAGAGGCAGTATTACCCTGTCTCTCGTGGGGTGTTTCGTGTCCTGGTTGCCTGGACAACTCGGACTGTGCCCCTAGGGAGACCTTCCTCCCTAGTGATCTCTACTGGAGGGCGCGCATCTCTTTCAAGATAACCGAAGGGATTGACACCTTGCAATCCCTGTACTCACGTTCGGAGAAGTCGTTTTTCGACGGCCCTTCTTCAAACGCAGCGGGTGGGTCTTGTCATATTGCTTGACGAGACCAAGGACATCAACAATCAGCTGGACACGAGGCTCCCAGCTGTCCCACGCCGGTGGATAGCCACGCCAGCGGACGAGGTAACTCGTCCGGACGCCATTCACATTGCGGTGGTTCAAAATACGCTCCACTAGAAAGCGTTGACCACCGCCTGAGTCCACCAAATGATGTGGTGGCGGCGGTAACACTTGATCCGGCTAAAGGGTCGGATCAGTTCGATGTTCGGGAACTGAGCCGTGTAACCCATCAGTTTTACGATGACACGGCACATGAACAGACTCGGTGTTGTAAGCTCCATGACCTTAAAAATATAACTACAATCCCTCAGCCCACGATCGGTCGAACGATCGTGCCGCTTTCGTGTTCGCGCAACTTGAGAACGAACGTTCGACTCGTTCTCTTTGTGAAGAGCTGGCTATAGGTCGTCAGGACATCGCACAGTTGCGTGAAAAGTTCGCTTCGCTAGTTGAACAGACTGGATCGTTGAAACGGGACCACTCGAGGGTGGCCTCGGCTCTCGACCGCGGATGTGTTCTTCGCATCTCGAAACGGGCTCGCACTGATAGTACGGGTGGAGACGACCGACGTAAAACGTAGGATGCTTACGAATCTTACGGGGCAGTTCAATCGTGTATGCGTTGCCCATTCGGCGCATCACACGAAATGGACCGATGTACCTGGGCAGTAATTTACTGCTGCTCAAGTTTGTCACCGCGTGTTTCGGTAGGTTTACTTTAGAGAGTAAAACTAGGTCTCTTTCATCAAATGAAAGAACATTTGCTCTTCCATGTTTGTCTGCATTTCTTTTCTGTCTGTCTAGTGTATCTGCAATAGAGTCTTGAACGAAGCGGACAACCGCTTCGCGAGTCGGCAGAAATTCCTCTGCTGTTCATCCTTCTTAACAGCAGTGATCTTCGTGTGCACTGCTGAAATAACGTTATCTTCACCAGTGAGGGTGTCATCGTCTTCACTTTGGCGGTCGTTGGCGATGCTGAATATACCAGCATCGTCATCATCATCATTATCGATGTCGATCGCATCGACATCGACATCTATCACGTCGACACCATCATAGACGGGTGATGAGCAAGAACCAGATCGGTTTTTTTTCGAGCGAGTCCAACCCCTCCCTTAAACTAGAGTCACACTATAAGAAGACGGGTAAACGTGGATGGCGTAGGCCATTCACGAAGAACGGTGTATGCGTTGTCGACGCATGTACCGTGTTGTTGATTGCGAATTCTGCCATAAACAAGAACTCACTCCAGCTCGTAAACGAGTGGACGTACTCTCAAAGTATCGCTTCAAGAACGCAATCGACCCGTTTCGTCTGACCATCTGGTTCGGGATGGTCAGAAGCTGACATCGTCAAACGTGTTCCAAGTGAACAGAACACGGATTGCCAGAAATCCGCTGTGAAGCGGGGGTCCCTATCAGACACGAGCTCACCGGGTAGCCCGTGAAGTTGGAAGATAGCATTAGTGAAGGCACGAGCACAGCCCTGGGATGTGATTGACTTCGTTACAGCAACAAGATATACCATCTTGCTAAAACGTTCAACAAACACAAGAATACCAGTATTCTTGTGAAAGTCTTTGGGAAACCCGAAGACGAAGTTTATCGATACGGACAGCCAACACTCTGCCAGAAAAGGAAGAGGCTGTAAGGGTGCGCGGGATAAAGTGCTAGGCTTCACCCGTTGACAAACTTCGCAAGCGCGAATGTATTTCCGCACAAACTCATACTGGCGGGGCCAGTAGAAGTCACGACTCACCATGAGCTAAGTCTTTTCTCTACCGCGATGTCCACTTGTTGGGGCATCTTGGCACTCATACATGATGCGCAATCGCAAATCATTATGAGCCGAAACGACGACACGAGGTGTGTCGCCGTTGACTGCTGGATAGTACAGCAGTCCATCACGGACAGAATACCGTTCGGTTGAAGAGCGGTATTGAGACGACAAGCTTTTCAAAGCTTGATTACACGGAAATGGATGCGTAATCCATCAACCGCAGAAGAGACTCATCGTCTGTGTTTGCGTTTCGCACGTCATCGACCAGATTCGACGACGGAACACTCACTGTTAGTGTCGCGACAGTGGGATCACCCCTACTGTTGGGTTGAGCAGACGGCTTGAAATCGGGCTGACGCGAAAGAGCATCAGCGACTACATTAAGTCGTCCTGGTATATACTCGACAGTGTACTCCGCGAAGAAAGACGGCCACCTCGCCATTCGTCGCGAGAGGTGTAGACTGTTTACGGCCGTGCGTAATGACGCATGGTCAGTGTAACCAATGAAAGGTATATTTCCTAATAGATAGACTCTGAACTTCGCGATTGCCTATTTCATGGCAAGGAGTTCCTTGTCATAAACCGAATAATTTCGCTCAGCTGCTTGCAGCTGACGCGATTGATAACAGACGACGCGCTCAACGCCGTCTGAGACGTACCGAATTAACGCGCAGCCGATTGCAAAATCGCTGGCGTCACAGACCACATGAAATGGCCTATCCTGATCTGCAATCGCCAATACAGGCCATTATGTCAAGCTTTATGTGATAGCTTCGAAGGAGTGCTGACACTCAGCACTCCATGACCACCTCTCGTTTTTCTTTAATAGACGAGAGAGATGTACAGTCATCTTGGCATAGTTGCGCGAGTACTTGTGCAAGTACGCCGCCAAGCCAAGAAATTTTTGAAGTCCCTTAACGTCGACTGGCACAGGTTAGTCGCTAATCGCCTTGATCTTTGCCGGATCAGAGCGTACACCGTTTTTACCCACGATGCAGCCAAGAAGTGGTATTTCGTTCGCTGCGAATATACACTTTTGAGGTTCGCGAACAACTTATGCTCTCGCAATAGAGTAAGAACCTTCCAAACGTGGATTCTATGAACCTCCACGTCCGTCTTTCCATCCATAGCCCGGCTATGGACGAAGACATCGTCGGAGTAACTCGGTGCGAAGTCGCGCACCGATCGCAACAGATTCGTAACACATCTGTTAAACGTTGCGGGGGCGTTACTTAGCCCCTGTGGCATCACTATCTACTCCCAGAGCATATCACTGGGGTGCTCACTGCTGTGTATGGGACGTCCTGTTAACGCATGAGGACCTGATAGAATCCATCCATCAGATCCATGGACGAGAAGATGGTACTTTATGTCATACCATCAATGATGACGTCCTTCCTTGGTATTGGCGTCTGAGCAGGTACCGTTGCAGCATTCAATTTGTTGAACGCGTGCACTATCCGCCACCCTTCTGTGGTCTTTCGCACACAGAAGGTCGGAGAGCTGTGCGGGGAAGTTGATTCCCTCACATGGCCTGCAGCTAATCGATCGGCAAAGAACTTGTCGATCGCAAGTACCTGTTCACGAGGCAGTGGCCACTGCTTCATGACACAGTAGTTCGAAGCAGGTTTCAGTTCAATCTCATGTCGAGTGCTTTTGTCTTTGGGCAGCTCGCATGGCACGGATTCTAGGAAAACATCCCTGCATTCCACCAATTCCTTATACAAAGGATTTGTCTTTAATGACTCCCAAGACTGAGACGTGTATCGCTCAATCCGGGTCTTCTCATCGCGGACACTCTCGTCCTTCGCTGAGCTACTAAGAACCGTTCGTTCTCAGCAAACACTTGTGCCGACCAAATATCGGCGACGTGCTCGTCCTCCGCGACGAGTACGCAGATCTACTTGATCTTGTCACTACGCAGATCTCGTAAGAATCTTTTATATTCTAGCGTTGGCAGCTATATTACCTCCGAAGCTGACTTCGGGGGCGTCACCAGATCAAGTGTATAAGCGCCTACACTTGATCCGTCATTCACCAAGACATTCACTGACTCGATAATTTCCTGGGAAACGCATCCGCAGGTGATTGGTGATCCACATCCTCAACATAACCCTCTCGGGAGTTATTGCTCTCAGGAACGCTGAACTTTCTTCTAATACGTGTTATGACTGTGAAATGTACTGCCACACTCTGTTCCGCTTCGATAGACTCTCTTTCAGTCGATCGGGCTTTCTCTACGATCGACTCTCTGATATTAGATCTCGCTTTAACGTGTTGTTTATCTTGAACAGCACTAAGCTCTCTTCTCGGATGCACCCTTCTTGGTGTGCAACCGTGTTACAGTTCACTCGATCTCTTCGAGTGGTGAACCTTCGGCGCAGCCTGTGTCTCTACACAGGTGCCGGAAGCTGGTTCCACAGTGTAGTGTTCTTCTACACTTTGATCTTGTGCAGTCGTACTAACGACCGTACCACAAGTGAGGACATCGCACTCACTCATAGTACATCCACACGCTTGTGGACGCTCCAAGACGTTTATCAGATGACCATCCGATGAACAAACGGCAGACATCTTCAAGAATTGATGCTGCCAGCTAACATATGGCTAGTTTTTTTTGAAGCCATGGCAGACCGAGGATGACATCAATTTTTTTATCCAGATTCATTACGATGAAATCATCATCGTACTACTTCCCTTCTAGAGTGGATTCCCACTACACGTTTGTTCAATGTTATGGATGCACCTGCTGCAAGGCACACCGTCATCCTCGTTGAAGGGATCTCTCGCTCAACATAATTGAGCCTACTATCTTCTAGCGACCGGTGTCGAATAAAAATATTTGACACCCACAGTCAACTAGGGCGCGAAGTGACATTCCACTTGTCACTTCTATCTTCAAAGTGATGAGGGACACCTCATCACTAGAAACAGTAACGCACAGTGACTGTGTGCTGGGAGCAATCTTCGTCAATAGTCCTGCGAATTCTATTGACGTTGCTGGATCAGCAGGGTGCCGTTCATAACTGACTTTGACCGTTTTTTTACGGTTCGACTTGCTGTCGCGGCTTGGCGACGTGGTCGGACCCACGCCTTGGACCCTTCCTTGGCCAACGGCGGTCATCACGTCCTGTTTTCGGACGTGTCGTAGTGCTCGGGACTTTACAATCATGAGCGTAGTGTCCAAGCTTCTGACAGCGATGGCATCTTGCCGTTCGCTTGTGACTCAGAGAGCGAGAGTTCTCGCTCTCGATGTAACAGAGGTCTATCGGTTCGGGACCTCCTGTTTCCTGTCGCCTCGTCGGACGATAGCTGAACGAGTTAGCCTGATACTGTCTCAGGCTGAAGTCTTCCTGTTCCGCATACGCTATCTCCTTTACCAGCGTATGGAAATCCTCTTGGAACATGTAGGTCTTCACCGGTCCATCTACAAGACCGTAGATGAACACGTTGATAATTGTGTGCTCATCAACAGGGTTCTCCATACTTGCAAGGTAGCGCAGGTGCTGTGCGTAAGCGTGCACGTCACGCTTACCTTGCTTTCGCCTCAAGAGTGCAGAGCGTGCTCTGAACTCGGCTCTCGGCGGCTCAAGCGTCTCTTTGAGCCGAGACTTCAAGATCTCCAACAACTCAAACACGTTTGGGTCGTGAAGCTTGAGCCCCTAAGGCCCGAGTCTTTGCTCGTCCTGTAAGATTCGACAGGGAGAAGGTGACTTGCGTTTCGTCACCCTCTATGTGACTGGACCTGATTGCGTCGACTAACTCGACGAACCATCTCAAAAGATAACCCTAGTCGGTTCCCTTGTAGCATCAGACATCGATCTTCAAGGTTTTTGGTCGACGCATGTGCGTCGGCCCGCCCATCGACTGATGAGAGCCATGCTGCTGTAGCAAGGCTATATTCTGTCGTTCGACGGCAAGTTCTCCTCGTAGGAATTTGTTGATAGCAGCATGTTGCTGGTCTCTGATTAAAGACTCCGACATGCAATGATGGCGGGTTCGCCCATGAGCACACTCAGGCGGCCGACTACCTCCCATTCTGAGTCACTCAGATAGGAGTAGCCTTCACGTGCGACGTGAAAGCTGTCGTCTTCTACATCCAACATGTTCATGTTGGACGGACACTAAGTAGTCGTTGGACGGACTACGAATTGCTACCCGGTGTAATGGGGCACCCTTTTGTCTAGGTGCCACGAAACTTCACGTACACTAGTACGTGCAGAGGAAGCTAAACTACTTGAACGACTCGTTCAAGTAAAGGTAAAAAGAGAACTGTATCAAATATATTTCAGCTATCAATAAAACTTTAATCTTTATCTAACTATATTAAACTACGTCGTCGTATGTCGACAACCTGCTCACCACTCATTGCGCGCGTCGAGCAGCGATTGGTGGCAATCTATGGTTGATATTTCTTGTATCAACCAATCTTGGAGCAGCGCATGAATGTTGCATGCTAGACAATGTTCCGATTAACATCGTTCGATGTCAATATCATGCAACGGGCTACCTTGTTACAGTTCGTGTAAAAAGTGTTTCTTTTTTACACCTGCAGAAGTTTTACGCGCTCATAAATAGGTGCCAGTATTCTTTAAGTGCAGGCGATATAGCGCAAGCGCCAGCTGCACTCGTACAGTCCGGCGCCAATGACGTGCAGTCCGTCGTCGTGCAGCCCGAGAGAGAGCAGTATATTGGGACGAGAATATCCTTAACGATGGGGTCGTAGAGTTGCTGTGCAACCAATCCATCAATATGGCATTTGAGGCCCGACGTCAGCTCTGATAAATACTGCGAGAGTGATTGCACTCGCTTTACCACCTGGCGTACACTACTTTATCGTTCGCCATTCCACCCAACCAATTAATTTCATTAAGCGGGCGATGTCATATCATCAATATAGCTGCAACCTCCATAATTCCAACTATCATTCAAACTCTTGTCTACCGGGTAGATTTACCTGGGTAAAAGGTTAGAGGAAGGTAAATAAATGTAAGGTGTACACAGAACATCCGGGTTAGGCAAACATGGAACAAAAAGTATTACCCGGTCAACACAACTATTACCCGGTAAGCAAATAAATTAACCAGGTAATCTTTTATCTTGCCGAGGCCTAGGGCCAAATGCGGAAAGAGCACAAACCCCACATCCATCCCCTAAATCACATAACTCTCATCAGCACATGTCCTTTCATGTAATCATTGTGATATTAACCAATTTAGCAAATTTTCTTTCAGGTAATCATTGTGACTTCGCCCCAATTTAGCAAACGCCTACTGCCCGATCGATTCTTGTTGTTATACATCAGACGTACACATGGGTCAGGATGCGTGGTACTCAAAATTACGGCGTCAGTAGCAGAAATTGGCTAATTATGGAGCATAGACAAGGAAAAAAGTCGCGCCCTGGACTATTTTGGAGGCATTTGTAACAATAAAACGCCCAGCCAAAATATCTTGTTGTTGCCTGACACTTTACTGCTCTCGCTGTATGCAACGCAGATGATTGTGTCACCGCGACCTGGCAATTCTTGTGAATGAGCAGAAGCTGACGACACTGATGCAAACGGTCGCGCGCTTTAGATCATTAATTCTATAAGAGCATTGACGCACGGTGCAAATGTGGCCTACATGTGCTCACGAAAATCGAATGAAAGTAAGCTGGTACGTTTAACTGATGCAGACAGTCAGTGCAAGATTTCTAGACAGGATAATGAATATTCGCTTTCTGTCGTCCTCTAGCGTATGTTGCTTCCGAATTGTGAGCATGCCCTAAAGTGTTTGAATTGATAACGTAAGCATAGCGCCATTACTAACTCGCGACGTACTAACATCAGACATTTCCGGGTGCGCTCAGCTGAAGCGTCAGACGCGTGCGGAGAGAATTCGGGTTTTGCAGGCTGTTCTTTTTCTACAAGCGTTCAAAACCAATTTGTAAGTACTCTCAATTGACGTTACACCATTGTACAAGTCTGACCTGTTCATTCAGAAACACCTTTGGCTTGACAGGACTGTTTTCCATGGCAATGTCAACCTGGGTCTTCGGCCGTTTCATCGCCTGTTCCACCTAAACATATCGAAGCAAACAGCATCTTAGCAGGAATCTAACGTCAAGAGTGCAATTTTCACGGGCAATATGTACAATGTTAATCGTATCGCTCGTTTGGCTCGTGGTTTGCGACAGCTTAGCACTTGTAATCGCAATCGAGGACGCCGTCTGGTATGTGCACATAAGCTTATCGTCAATCAACAATCACCTTCACTTACAGTTGTACACCACAGAGCGATTCCAACAAACCTTTACATAAACTGCCTCCAGTGCTTCAGTTTGCTCGTTCGTCAGCTCGGCGCATGCGATTGTCGTCGTTTCTGGTTCCCTGAAATATTCCACAGTGCACTCAAACCCACATGAGCCTTTCTTGTTCACTAACGAATTAGATACATCTCCTTCGTCAGGGAACAGCTACTAAACACGTACGTCACAAGTACATCAGCATAGCGCTTGCGAGCCTTTGCAAGCTCTCGACGTGCATTTTCCGCAGCCATCACGGGCACTTCTTCCCGGAGTTTCTTCACATCTGCTTCTTTCTCTGCTACCTTTGCCTCGAGCTCCTTGAGTTTCGTCGCCAACTCAGTATCCAACGGCACCATCTCCTCTGCAGCAATAACGTCATGAAATCAGATGGAATCGAAACGCCGAACTCACTCTATCTCATTGACCGTATCAGTCCATTAACGACCTTTGTTCTCAGGATTATACTTCCTTAGCGCTGCTGCAAACACTGTCGCGCATAAATCGTTCACATGCGCTCGAAAGATCTGCTGCTGGGCCGCAGACGCCGAGCCGCACACTTCTTGAAGCGAAGCCGCCATCATCTTCTCGCTGCACACACGCTGCGCCTCTTTAATCTCGACAAATGAATACCGTTGCGGCTGATGCTGCGACTCGGTCGCGGCTTCCATCTCGACGTGAGCGTCGGTCATGTTTGTGGTCGATTCAAACCTTCGAAAGACAATATAATACCGCAACGGAATAGCCTTCCACACCGAATAACCCTGCTTTCTTTGATTCTCCTGTGTAAACCAGTCGACCTCTACGATCGAATCCCCTTGCGTCTTATTCGAACTTATCGATCTGCCACGGTCGTATCATCGCGCAAGTAACGCCACGCCGCGCTTGCCACGCGCTCCATCGTGTCTGTCACACGCCACGAACGACTGGACGACCGCCATGAGGCACCAAGACGGAACAACGACCGACCCGTCGACACTGACTAGTGGTTCTCCCTCTCTCTCCACAGCAGCAGCCGCCGCCGCCAGCACAACCACATCATCTGTCGCCGCAGCCATGTCCACGTTCAATCTCCTGGCCACCGCGTCCACCGTCTTCCCGACGTCCTCGGCATCTTCGTCTACGTGTCACACACCACAAACGAACGCAGCGACGCCGTCCACCGCCAGCGGCGTCTTGCTGCTGGGCAAACTCATGCGTCGCGACCGTCGCCTCTTTACGTGGAAATGGCGCGACTTTGTCCTCGAGCGCTCGCGACTGCAGTACTTTAGTGCCAAGGGCAACCGGAAGGGGGACATTTTGCTGACGCCACAGACGCCCATCACCATCCGCATGTGCAGTGAACCCAAGCCCTTTGGGTTCCTGCTCTTTATCAAAGACACGAAGCTCACGCTCGCCGCTGCGACCGAGCGCGAGCGACGGCAGTGGATTGACGTCTTTTGTGACGTGTTTCACGCTAGTGTCGAGCAGACGCCGACGGACAACAAGGCTGAACGGCGTGCGAGACCGACGTACTTGCCGATCCCGGATCTTGGTGTCGAGGCGGACGGTACGACGAACTCAGTTTTTGCGCAGCAGTCAAGCTCGATCACAAGCGTTGAGAGCGGAGAATTCGTGGATGGCAGCAACTACTCGACTCCAGTCATGGCACACAATGTTCTGGACAATGAAGACGCGAAACGGGACTCGTTTGGTGAAGATGTGATCCCGATTTTGGAATCGAGGATGACGTATGGACCGATCAAGGAACTGTTCTCGCGTATCACGTTTCCGCCGAGTTTGGCAAATGGGGACTTATTGGTGGGGGTTGGACCCATTGTACGTCGAGTGGGCTGGACAGATGAACGCATTATGGCAGTAGGGATGTACATTGACCCGGAAGCAGCGACAAGGGAACTGGAAAAGTTCAATGGACGCGTCGCCAAGAGTTTGTATGGCGATCAGCAATTTTACAATCACCTGCTCTTTCATACGACGTTCCGACGCAGTTTCGTGGTTACTGCACGTAAACGTGTGTCCAAGTCCGTGCTGACGGCACTACTACGCGATGAACTGACCCCGCGCATGGGGCCGAATGCTGCAGCGACGACCACGTTCCTTGGGTTCATTGAAAAGTCGCTCAAGAAAGCCGAGTCTATGGTCATGCGGATACATGAGGACGACCGATTCGAGTACCGACTGCGGGGGCAGTTGTATCCACCGATTGCGTCGCACGCACTTTGCAAGTGTATTCAAGCACTCTTTTTCGACAGTAATTCCATTCAGCACGATGCGAAACGCGGTCTGATTGAGCGATTACCATCGTTGTGGGGTGGTGAGGTGCTGGACGTACACGACGAAATCTTTGGAAGTCTTCACGAGCGGATTCAGAATGTTGATAGCGAGGACGAAGAAGACACTGAATCTGATGATGAAGACGACTGTGACGATGATGAAGATGACAGCGAGGCAGAAGATCTGTTTGGTAGCCACGGAGGTACGAGTCACCATTCCAGCGATGATGAAGAAGGACACAAGGAGAACAATAACGATGAGCAGGAAGGGGATCACTCAGTGCTTACGGCGGACAAGCGCGTCCGTTCAAAGAGAAATAACCACTTCGATTTTTCTGCGATTTACCAGCGACCATCAACGCAAGATGAATGGGCGGACTATGACGACAAAGAACTGGAGATGCTGCAACGCCAGAGTCGTAGCCTTATGGTGCACTTTGGCCCAATGTTGGACCGAGACAGCAATGTTATATTCAGTGGAGAATTGGCTGTTGATGGCAGTGCATTGTTGGGAACATGGTCACACCAATTTTCAATGTCTCCAGATGAGTACGATGCGCCCGGCGACTCTCGCCAGCGTCGATTCACAGTTGGATTGTATGTGGATCCAGGTGCGATTGGTGAAAGTCTTCTTAAGTTCAAAGGTCTTTCGATCGGCAGCATTGTCCAGAATACGGACTACTTTCATCAGTTCTCGAGTGGTACATTCCAGAAACATCTTGTTATCAAGGTGGACGCCAAGGTAAAACTTCGGGTTCTGCTCAAGTATTTTGACTTGCGCCTCCAATCTCTGGTGGCATCGTTTGAAGATGTCAAGAAGCCTTTTGATAATTTGGCGGAACTTTGGGATAGCATGCATCCACAAGAGCATCATCAGCAACTTGAGCTGACTCCAAAGGACGAGGCCCGGTTTTCGATTGCCCCCGACAAGAAAATGGTGCTAAAGGTGAAAAAGCGTGGGTTGTGTAAGGAAGACAAAAAACAGAATAATGCTGTGAATTTTGGTGCCTTCGTGGCACCGAATGGCGAGGATATCTCGGATAGTGTAGATGCCACACCATCGTCTTCTCAAACGAGTATCGCGATGCCGATCGGTGCCAGTACTCCTTCTCAGGTGGGTCACTCTCGTGGAGCTGTTGAAATGGAGCTAGTACTTCCTGCTCCACCGTTCCATCTGGTTCTTGAAAGTCTGATATTTGGCTTCCACGCAATGGACCCATCGGCTCGAACGCAACTCATGGAACGTATACCGAATCTCCTCGATCTCGTGCCGGACGATCTTGCCCATACTTATCACGATGAGATCCAGGCGTTGCGGGAAAACTACAAACGTCAAAAGCCGGAGAACCGCGTGAAAGTGGGGTACCTGTCGATTTCATTCGAAAAACGAAAACTGCAAAAAAGTACAGAGAAGGGCGGCGCCAAGGAGGTCACGATGGTTCCTTCACGGTGGTCCAAGCGCTGGTGCCGTCTAGATGGGACCTTGTTTTCGTACTATTCTCACAAGCGATCTCGTAAATACCGGGACATGATGGAACTCACGCGATGTGAGGTAGTAGAGATCACGGCCAACAGCGGCCCCGATGTTGCGCGTTTTGCGTGGGAAAAGGGTGAGAGTGATAGCGTTCGTATCGCGGTCATAAAACCTAACGGTGAGATACTGGCGCTACGAACTGAAACCATATATGAAGGTGAAGAGTGGCTAGAATCGCTCACCGACGCCAGCAAGGTGCGTCGGTACGGTGACAGTCCCGACAATTGGGTTGCGTGGGATGCGAACTTCTCGCAGCGCGAACGACGAAGCAGTAGCAACCAAGACGGAACACCCAACCGTGGTGATAGGAGCGGCTCGTCAGAGAGCACTTCAAATAGTGAGCGGCACTCCGGCGTCGGGCAAGGTTCAGTTGTGAACCGCAAGAGCCATGTAAACTCAGTTGCAGCCAGTAACTTGCCACTGGATACAACATACGAAGAGGATGACGGCTACCTTGATGATACAAATGTTGACGAGTACGACAGCGACGAGGATGTGGTCAAGAAGGACGGCTCGTTGCTTGCTTGGATGCAAGAGGATCCTCGTCACGCTATTATTGCATTTTTGCTGGTTTTTATCGTGTACCTCGCATCCATGATGCACCGGGTCCAGCCCGTTCTCGTTACTAGCACTGAGGTGCCGTGAAAGGCTCAATTTGACATCCGGTGGACAGCACGACATGCCAGCATGACGAATTACCGCTTCGTATTTTTCGATTGAACTTTAACGCTTGCATGAAATTATGGCAAAAAATGACGAGGATTTGGTCACTCGTTGCAACGTGGCTAGAAATACGGCGCTGACGCGAGCATTGTGCAACGTGCTGTAGATTGCTTCTTGCCAAGTATCTCAGTCCAGTATTTGTTGCTTTTGTAAAGCTTCGTGATTCAGTCGGCGGTCTGCAATTCTTCGTTCGTAAAGTTGATGCCTCTAGCCTCGTTAGTATTCTAAATTTTACTGTAACTTTTTGACTAGCTGCAGCCCTGACAGCGCAATACTTGGCTCTCCGCTAGTTTCCGTCTCGTTGACAATTCACAAGAGTTCCAAAATACGAAAGTCTTTACATCCGTGAGCAGTTTTGGGTTCGAGACCATCTGTTGCTGTCGAAGCTGAACAATCATCTCCTTGGATGGTATCTTGCGTACGCGTCCGATCTCTACGTGCAAATCTTAACTGTGCGTACTGGACGTCAAGGTTGACTGCAAATCACAACACAAATGATGATGACACTCGGTACTGCCCGACGCTAGCCGATTCTTGTCTACATAAATTCGGATCCATCGAAAAATATGGACGGGAGCATGATAAAGCTCGGTAAAAGACACACAGAAGCTCTTTGACAATGTCCGAGACCGAGACTTGACGAGACGGTCGAATGAGTTTCTGCAGATGTAATGAAATGGGTTTCTTTGTGTCCGTCTAAGCGTTCCTGTTGTAGTTTTCGCTGTGGAAAATAGCACGGAGCTGCGAAGCCGATATGGTGTTGAAGGTATAGTTAGGCGGCGTGCGCGAAGCTGTGTGATCGTATGGCTATTCAGTCGTTAGCAGATAACATTGTCGATGCCCTAATTTTCTTGATTAGTTTGCATAAGCTTGAAATGTCGATACCACAGCATTTCACGCCAACAACTCATCCACATCTGCTCGACGCCGTCAGCTTACGATATTTAGTGGCGTGAGCCATGTTGTTATAACGTGGAGCACCTCCTTGTTCATTGGAAGAGATACACGCAACGCACTGAATCAAGTCCTACAGACTGATGCACATACGACAACGAACTGGACGTAAAGATAGTTTACGAGAGGGTGTCGCTACTTCCATCGACACTGATACTACGACCACTGACACTTACGTGAATACGGCACTGACACTTAAGCTGCGTCTACAGACATATTTTTATCCAGCCAAGCATAGCATTGAAAATCGCAATCTAGCTAAGTGGACATTGATTACACTGTTCGATGCGAAATTTGACATTAAAATACGGAAACGATAGATACATACCCGGGCTAGCTGCTCAACTTACTATTTGTCACAAATTAGACGTAAGCCCCGACTAGGGACACACCCTACCTTTGCTAAAGACACACTCTACTTTTGCTACGGACACACTCACCCGTCTGAGACAATGACAGGTAACCATGCAGACTAATAGCATACGTGTACAGTACATTATAGCTACGACTGTATGTGGATACCCCCAACCGGATTGCTGGAGTTATTTAGCCAAGGGTTGTGGAGCTAAAAAAGGTTATTTCCCCTCCAGCAAACGAAAAAAATCTTTTCAAAGACCCGTCTTGGCTGCACAATTTTGCCTGTGTCCCTTCACACCGATACAATACGACAGAAACACCGGATAAAAAATTACGAACCAGATCCGCATCCCGGCGGACGAGGGCCCAAGAGAGGGATAACCCTGTCACTGGAACAGCTCCAACCCCACCTGTGCTCTCGTTGGAACCATCTTTCCTCCCAGGAACGAGATAAACCAGCCTTAAAAGGTTTTGCGGCTACCAAAGGGTACACCATCGCCGTCACCAGATTAAAGAAAACGAAGCGGGGTCTGCTACAGATCTACTACAAGTGCAATTGTGGCAGTACCAACAAGAAAAAGCCATAACTCCAGCGACGGTAACGCTGGTTCTACCGACTTGACATCAACGGTCCGGCTTCATCCGGTACATCTTACGAAACAAAATTCCGAATAACTCCCCATTCTGCCAAGCAGTGATCAGTTGGTCAGTAAGGAGTATAATCAGGTCCCTTTCGGCATAATACAACCTAGACAAGAGCGCGATGTCGCCTCCCTCCTGCCCCCTCCCGGAGGAGGACAGGGAATGGAGGTGATAGAGCCACACGTATCGGCCCCGTTGGGAGCGGAAGCATGCTCAGACGGTTTAAGTGGAGACAGCATCCACGAACTGCGGGTGACGCAGACGTAGACAAGTATTGCCTTAGGTAGTATCACCCGAGTGAGAGAGAGGAGCAACGGGTCAAACTCAGTGGTCCAATCGCCATATCCGAGCAATTTATCGGCGATACCGCCGATTTTTAATTCTCCTGAGCCTTATCAGGCCGGTAGCCTTGACCCTGATGGCACCGTACAAGAGGGGCGAAGGTCAGCCTGGAGAAAGCAGGTGAGAACAGGGCTACAATAAGAGACGGTACGGCTGTCAAGGCTACTTCAATTCCGCCAGCCCCTGGAAGACAGCAAAGCCAGCGCACTACATCATCGGTATATAGGTTTAAGCGCTGGAGGAGGACATGGCTGAGTCTTCGAACGTGGGACAAGCAGAAGCGTGGCGCACCACAATTAAGACATTATTCGCTGAAGCCTATAGTGCAGTGCCAGTCCAGTTGGAGGCTTTACCGGCGGCAAAGAAGCGCATTTCGGCTCTGACCGCATAGGAAGCTGCAACTTTGGTCGGGCTATTTGAGCAAGTCTTCGTACAAGGGCGAGAGACAATTTCAGACTGGCAGAAAATCCGACAGCGATATCGCGTGAACTGTTAACGACAAAGTGGGCATTCAAAGAGATAATCCGTCGTCTCTCCAGCCAAAACAAATGAGCCCAAGCTCCAGTTTTTAATCAATGGTCTCGAGTGGTCCGTACCAAAGCGACGGCTTCACTTTCGGCAACGCCGCGAGTTGGCAACCTCAACCAACGTTTTAAAGAGTTCATGTTCGAACCCTCTGCTTTCACAGGTGAAATCATTACTCGTCTTAGATCACTGTGTGCGGCACCGGCTGCTCGTGCAGGGCAGCACCAAGTACGAGAAGGCACAGATGACGTATTTGCGATCATTGCGGGGCTGGTCGAAGGTACAGTGGCTTGCAGGCGCATGCCTGACTTTATCCAGCAAGTACTGAAAAGTGAAGAGCGGCTGCGCTTATGTAGTACAGTCCAAGCACAAGTCGCAGAAAATTGATTTTGCAGTTGGATCGAGCTAGCGTTATAAAAAAATCCGACGGACTACAAAGGCCATCATGGAGACAATCCTGGAATAAGCGGAGCTTGAGCGAATAAATCTCCCTAATCTCCACCGTATGCTGAGTCAGACCAAGACTATCAGATCTGATCACTATACTAAAATCATACACTTAAAATTCTTCACTAGAGCTACAGCTGAACGCCACAAGGAGGTCCGAGTGCCGTTCGATGAGAAAGTGCATCGGCTCCAAAACGCCCACATTCCAGACATAGGTTATATCTGGCAACGACATCATGGGCTGAATGGAAAACCACAAAGGAGACGTGTAGAATACACTGTACACCTACATAACCTCAGCCGATTTAGTGACGTTGGCAGGATCGCAGCCTATTTAAAGGCAAAAAATACCGACCGAATTTAGGATGGAAGACCTGGATACTCATACTCCGGAATCAAGGACGCCCAAGATTGTGAGAGTTACATTCAAGCTGGCGGGTTGTCCTAATTTTTTAGATGTTGTGGTGCGACTTCTCTGGTTTGGCACTACCATCATTGTGAAGCACCCCAATGTTGGACATAGGCTTCCATGATTACAATGTAATAATCTGGAAAACACAATAGCCCGGCGTAGCTTCACCGATGCCTTATTACGATGTCCAGGAGGTTTAGTCGTGACAGAAGACGACGTGCGCGAGCACGAGGACCTAGCCAAACCGTTTTCTAGTCTGGATGAACTAATATCTATGGCGGCGAGCCGGTTGACGCTCGAGGATGCAGTAGGGAAAGCTGCTCAAGAAGCTGTCGCGCCCCCGTGGAAGCGGGAAGCAGCATGTACATCTCAAACAAGGGAGCTCAACGCCTCTCTTGCTGTGAGTAGCTCACCTCAAGCTGAAAAAGGGACGAGATTCGAGCATCTAAAGCCTCGACCCAAACCGATGGAAGAACACCCTTGTTTAACCCGGATTTCTAAGAAGGGGCGCTGTAGAAACTTGACTTCCCGCGCAATTTCGGCCAGACCAAGCCCTCTTAAAAGAGCTGATAACGCAGAGGATGAGGTTAATAAAATCTGGCAAACAGAGGACGATGAGAAGCAACAGGGAGAGGATAAGACGAAGACACAGGTCGGGGGAACGAACACCAGCCTCCTGATGATTGACTTAATACCATACATCCGAGGGGATAAGAAAGCGAAAAGGAAAACTTCTAATATCACCGTGGCTTCCCGAAAGTCGCACCACAAAACGGTTAGGCGTGAACGAAGACTCGCTCCAATTTCACCAGCTCCTGTAATTATAACTCTACAGCGGACTGAGAAGAAAATTTTCGCTAGCTGGTCCAGCGTCTGGCAAAGCGGCAAACAGAGGCTCTAAAGATCGGATACAGGTCGGTTCACCCCCCCAGCAACACTATCCGAGATGGAAATGCAACTGGGACTTAGAGCAGTTGTTACACCTGCTACCGGGAACTGCTTTGCCATGTCGATTGTTCAAGCGGCGATGGACGCCAACTTGGATGACCCAGGAAGGTCGCTTGAACACCTGACGGCCTACCTGAAACGCGGCATTTATCGGAGCTACACAGCTCTTTAAGTCAGAGGAAGACTTATTCAACAAGTTAACGGCTTACGGCTGACATCCTTTTAGTTCTACGGAGCTCATATATCAAGTTAAAGAGTCACCCAGTTATACGGAACTCGAGTAGACTCTACGAGCTAACAACTCAGCTACTGTAGTTCTAAGGAACTACACGCACAATGTGTAGGGGAATACCGGAGTCTAAGGACTCTCTAACCTACAACAGTTCTAAGGAGCTGCAGGGCACAATGTGCGAAAGGGGGGGGGTCTAGGGACTTTTGCTCAAAATGAGAACTGAACTTTATTAGATTTTACATCAAGGAAAAATCCTACTTTATGTACCCTATATTATCCCAAATACAAATATTAGTATTCGAACTAAATGGATGGTTGCCACATCACTCAATCATCACATGATGACGGTACAAAGTACGTACACGGTAAATACCGTAAACCTGGGAATATCGATCAATCGATATTCTCTTGCTGATTTACAATCTAGAGTCACACACACTCATCCATATCAAATAATGGATGTCTTTGACCAATCCAGCCAAAGGATAGTGTGATCCCGTTACAACGTCCCCCACCAGACTGACTTTACCACAAACGTCACTCGACTCATTCTCCCATTGAGACTTGTTACAAAGTAACGCACCCACATGGACCGACCTGGGCCCCTCCTGGAACATACGGCTCTAGCCGAATTACTTGGTGTCGAGGACGTGGACTTTGACAGTGGCAGTGATATTAAAGTCGAGGGGCAGGAGCAATCCAAACTCAGCACACCTATGCGTGGGGACATTCCCCATCCGGCATTTAATCCGTTCCCCGAACGTAGTGCCGCGACTGCGCTAACAGCGCTGGGAGCAATGCCTTCCATGGCTACATCCATTATCACTAACCCACTTGACGAGGAGCAACAACGCATGCTCGACCAAGCGGCAAGCGCACAGCGCAAGTCAGAAGTTCAGACAACTTTGCAACGACACAGTGAATTCCACCTGACGTGGAAGATCTCATTCGTCAAGCGTCACACCATACGTAGGCGACATGGGCTACCGGTCCAATGGGAAAAACGCCCACTGAACTCGAATATCGCAAGGCTCTTCGAGAGAGGTACTTGGAACCTACTGTGATGACTTTGAGTCGATGCAGAGAACGGCTGCAAAAGCAGGCCCAAAGAACACCGATTCCACAAATTAGGGGTATACCCATCATTATATCCGAAGATAGGGACGAAACTGCAGAGGACGAAATGTTCATCCGCTGGGTGCATAGCGTTCGACGCCTCAGTAGCATGCACGCGCTACGCGAAAGTGCCAGTGTGGTAGACGTTCGTCTAGAGCGAAAGCTTCACTATGACTTCGCGAAGTTAAAGGCCAGAGGCCGTCTGCGGGGAGTATCACGCCCCCGCTATGCTTCGGCTGCATCTGCAGCCGCGAGGTCACGTCAATCTTTTGACACGAACTCGCCCACTCTCACTACGACAAGTGAGAAGTGTGATGCTCGTAAAGACGAGCTCGGCCGTGGCGCTCAAAAACGTTAACGGCGTATGAGCAGTCTTGCCGGAGGGAAATCTCATACTCCTATGAGCTTTCAGACTTAGTGTACCAACGCCACTTCACCAGATATTTGTAGTGACCATGACGACGACGTCATTGAAGCAATTGCTCCACAAGGAGCTGTAAGTTCCCTTGCTTATCAAGCCACGCCGGTGGCGGTCGGAGTATCGACTGAAAGCCATGCTGAGTTGGTGAAGAAAGTGGAGGATCTCCGTGAGACTTTGGGTCAGACTCAGAACGCCCTGGGCGAAGCCCGATCTCGTCTGACGACGTTGGAAAGCGATCTCGCCCGTCTATAGATGATGGAGTCACGTCAGACTCGTGTTGAGGTTCAACTTGACTTCTTAATTCGGATGCAACATCCTGTGGCAACGCCAATGTACGCGGAGCAAGCGACTTCAAGTCAACATGGAACGGGTGGTGGTATGGCCCAAGCAGACCGACATTAAAGACGGGATGTGTACGCAATTTGCGTGAAAGTTGAGCGTATACGCAAGGCCCTTCTTAACCGCGACCGTAAAGGTCCAATGGAGCGCGGACGCAATTTCGTTTTAATAACAGCTGACACTAATTTGTAGGTAATTTTATAGCGTTTAGCAAGACTTGGTCTCCGACCTCATAACTTTCGAAACAACTTCTGCTTTTGGCATCTGCTTGTTCCATTTGTTTAATTTGGCTAACAGCCATTGTCTTGCACATGTCGTAACACATTCAACCTTGTTGCAAGGAACTCACCAAGCTGTTTCTGAACAGTGGCAGGGCTGACATCAGCAAGCCGATCGACATTCCCTCCCCCAACAAGCCCGAAACCACGAAGTGGTAGCGTCAATGGGACACACGGATGGGAGAGGCCGATAACATGGAACGGGGTGTAGCCAGTCGAGGCATGGACCGAATTGTTCATGGCAAATTCGACCACCGAAGCATAAAGCTAAAACGCCTAGGCGCATCTGCGCAAACGCTGCGCAAAATGTCACCAATGACACGATTGACACGTTCAGTTTGACCATCGGTCTGCGGATGATTCACGGTGGACATGTCTAATCTGGTGCCGAGCACCTTGAAGATGGACTTCCGAAATTTTCCCGTAAAGCAAGGACCGCAATTTTAAACAATTGCCAAAGGCAAACTGTGTTAAAGAAACACGCAATCGATAAGCAGCTGTGCTGTACGTTCACCAATAATAGAAGCCGGTACAGCCGTTAGAAATGAGTCATCTTACTCAACCGGTCGAATACCACAGACCACAATACCAGTGTTGCCGTCCATTTAATTTTTGTAAACCATACACAAAGTCCATACTGCTGGATTCTTAATAAGCCGTGAGTATAGGTAAGTTCGCCAAAGGCACAGCCGCATGAGCGGAGGTTTGACCCGTTGACAGGTTTCACACGCACGCACATATGTGCTCACCCATTTATATAATTTAAGCCACCAATAGTGTTGACTGACAGAGCCATTGGTCTTCTCTCGACCGAGATGACCGCTCAAATCTGTATCATGCGCCTCAAAGAGGATACGATACTTCAATTCCTTATCATGAGGTAATAAGATGCGTGAAGTATCCGCCGAATCTGTGCTATAGCACAAGAGGCCATGATCGAAAGAATATCGATATAGCCCTGCAAGCGAGCGTGCCGACAAATTCAATGTCCGAGTCTTTAAACATTTCACAACCGAGTGCGCGTAAGAACGCGATACACTGATCATCCTTGGCATAAGCCGCACGCATTAAATCAGGGATAGAAGACGACAGAGTCGCAACATGAGCAAGCTCATATATTGGCCTGCGTGATAACGCATCGGCCTAAGCATTTTGCTTCCCTGTTCTATACTTCACCTCGAAGGTTACTCAGCATAAATGAAAGCCAATGGGCAATACGTTGCGAGAGATGAGGCGACTGGTTCGCAGTGCGCAACGACGCATGATCCGTGTAGATAACAAACGGCTTGGAGCCAAGTAGATGTGCTTTGAACTTGACAAGAGAATACTTCATTGCAAGTAACTCTTTGTCCTGAACTGGATAGATCTTTTCCGCAGCTTGTTGCTGGCGAGTTTCATACGCCATGACGCGCTCATGTCCAATCTTCATCAGTTTGCAACAATGCACTACCAATGGCAAAATCAGATGCGTCACAGACGACAGTGAAAGGTCGCTCCGGGTCAGGCAAAGCCAAAATTGGAGCATGAAGGATACTCTCCTTAACAGCTTGAAAAGCTCGATCCTGGACTGTGTCCCAACACCAAACTGCATCCATCTTGGAGAGGTTGGCTAATGGCCGTACCATGTCAGCATAGTTTGCACTATACTTGTGTGAGTAATTGGCTCAAACATGCCATTAACGCAAGTCTTTTGGGTAAGACGGAATCGGCCAATCCACAATGGATTTCACTTTAGCGGGGTCCGCTCGCAGGCCGTGCTTTCCAATAAAGCAACCTAAGAAGTGGATTTTTCAGCATCAAAAATGCATTTAGATAAATTTGCATGCAACTTGCTGGTGCGCATGCACCCGAGCACTGCTCGTAAATGGCCAATGTGATTTTCCACATCTGATCTTTCTTGTTCAGCACGGCTATTACAAAAATGTCACCAAAATAGCATTGTGCATATCCTCTATGAGGGCGGAACAACTGTGTCACGAGACGATTAAAAGGTTGAGGGGGCATTAGAAAGTCGCTGAGGCCTAACAAGCAACTTTTAAAGCATGCAACTCGGCGTGCTAACCGCTGTGAGCGGGATATCACTCGCTCGCATGAGCAGTTGGTAGTAAATAGCGACTAAGTCGAGCGCACTCAACCTGGTGCAGCCCATCATAGCGTTTTACAGAACATCCTTTTCAGGAATAGGGTTCTGCGCAGGTAGAGTGGCCGTATTGAGCTTATTTTAGCGTGCAAAATACGCCGCTTACCATAGGGCTATCTGACACACGATGTCGGTGTCGAGTGTGGAGATTTGCTCTCCCGCACCATGCCTGCCGCGTACTTTGCACGAAAGAACTCGTCAATGACGTCACACTGCTACTTAGGCAATGGATTTGACGTGTTACAAAATATTTGGTCCTAGGGACCAGGTCAATTTCATGACGCACACCTCTGTCGGGAGGTAAAGTGGATGGTGGATCATGACACACCACGTCATGAAATTCTTTTACCAAAGGATAGAAGGAATCTGAAGGATTCTTCAGAATAGCAGATCCACTGCGAGCACTGATTGCAACTTTAATGTCCTCTAGGACTGTCTCATCTACAAAGGATGACGAGCTCAACTCAAGATCAGGTCTAAGGACCACTATATCGGACAAAGCACCAGCCTTTAAGGCTTGATGAAATTCGTCTACAAACATTTCGTCTGGCTTTAGCAGAGAAATAATCGATGGGAGGGCCTCGAGGCCAACTTCTCCATCAATTGCACCCGACACCCAATTGACTAACGTGTACAACTGTTCACTAGTGCCCTTCGGCGTCATGGCCGAAGCCTTTCTTTTCACAGCCGCCATCTAGCGTCGCTGTCGTCTCTGTGCAGTGACTGAACACTTTAACGTGTTAGAAACATTCGTTTCCACGAGGTGAAGATTATCTTAAACCTAGAACCTGTTCTCTTGGAGATCTAATGTCATTACCGACATTAAGTGTGGTTCCATCACGGCCGACCTCACTCTGTGGGTTTATACATGCCACTACACTCGCATCTGTTGAGCATAGCTCTTTACGCCTTAACGAATCGCCAACAATGTCATTACCGACATTTAGTGGGGTGCCATCACAGCTGACCTCACTCTGTGGATGTTTACGTGCCACTACACTCGCATCTGTTGAGCATAGCTCTTGATGCCTTGGCAAATCGCCAAAAATGTCATTACCGACATTTAGTGGGGTGCCATCACGGCCGATCTCAATATGTGGATGTTTACGTGCCACTCCACGCGCATCACAGGGATCACAACCAGTATGACTCGGCCTTAAGCCATCAATGCTTCCGGCATTCAGTGATTCACTGTCATTACTAGTATTACTCAACGGAATACGTGCCGTTTCACTATTGTCAATAAAATCAGAGCTAACTAATTTAGACACTCCAATGTCAAGCACACTGACAGAATCCGTCAGTGGCGCGCGCCAATAGCGCTTTTGTTGCCTAGCAAAGAGGGGTTCATGATTTTTCAAAGCTTCACTAGGAACGTTGCGCGTTGCTATTAAGGTCTTCTACCTCCAAATAACCCATGACTCATGGCGTTGAAGCCAAGCCATACCAAGGATGAGACCACATCTCGAGTCCAAATCTAGAATCTACAACGTTTGATACTATCGAAATCATAAAATTTCACACCTAAATTCAACGGAACTTTAGGTACGGTGACACGAGTACCTGCCGCTACGCGAACAGTGATAACATCATCCTCATGCACTTTCAGCGCCTCAGCATATTGATGACATCCCTTTAGGGACCGGCGTCAAGCATAGTTTCCTGACGCTCCAGAGTCAATTAATATTGACCACGGGTCTTGAAAGCCCTTACTTGTAGCCGAGGCCACTAACAAGTCTGGCTTATACTCACGTCTCGTGGAAACTTCCA